TTTAAAATTATTATAAATAATTTTAATTATTAAATAAAATTGCAGGCAAATTTGCCTGCAAAACGCTTAAAGGGATATATGATAAGACCTAAAAAGAAAATATATTTATATTAGAAAAAAAGCTAAATATATACTAAATATATTATAAGTATTTTTTCTTATGTAGCTAATTAATAATTAATTTTACTTATTGTATTTTGTCTTTTATTTTTTATAGCAATAAGATTTAGAATAATCTGACATTCAAAAATCATATAACTTATAAAAAAATAGAGGTTAATTATATAGAGTTTATAATTCATATGATTTGTGATATAATAATATTTATTTTTTTTACAAATTATACTCATTTACCAAAAGTTATTGGTAGATCCTTTTTTAAAAAATTTAAATCACATTATCTTATCATCTAGTGATTATAAAAGGATAAAATATAGCTTATTAGATTTGTCATAACCAGATATATATAAAGGTAATAAATTCATATTTCTAGAAACAATAAATAAAAATATATTTACAAAAATCTTTAAATGAGATGTGTACAGTCAACACTTATTATAACGAACTCTATGTCCTAGATCTCAATTTCACTATAAGGTTATAGTGAAGATTTTAAGAGATTTGATTGGTCAATTTGTTATAACAAGAGTATTTTTATTATATTTATTCAAAAAATTTGTTATATCAAGAGTTTGCTATATCAAGAGTTGACTGTAAATAATTTTTCATTTATTTACACTAAAGAAATAAAAATACCACTGTTAGATGTGTCTTATTATAATAAATCTAACAAGCTATATTTTCATCTTTTTATAACTAATAGATAATAAAAAACTCTGCTACTAAATATTTAAAATAGTTAAGATCAGTAAATTAAAATTTGCCATATGTTATTTTTATTGAGCCAAAGTTATCATTATAGATCTGATCAAATTTGGTAATCTTTTTTTTAGACTTAGCTAGAAACTAGCACTATAAGAAAAACAAAAAAATTTTTGTAATTTTATTGCTTAATTTTTTTAAAAATGAAAAAAATGCAAGAAATTAACTGTTTTTGAATGTGAAATGATTGTTGAACTTCATAAAAGTAATTATAGAGCTAGTGATATTTCTAAAATTTTAAATATACCAATAAGCATTTGTCAGAATGTCATTAAAAAATTTGTAAAAAAAGTCTTACAGACGTTTCTTCTCGTTTAAGAAGATCACCACTTGTAAAAGTTAAACTTTTATATATCAAGTTAAAAAAAAATAGAAAAGTTTTTCTTGAAGAAATTACCGAACATTTTAATCAATTTGATCTTACCTAAATTAGTGCTAATATTTCTAGGCGTGTATTACATAAAATTAATTTTTGTTCAGATTGAAAAAAGAAATCCTTTGTTTAAAAAAAAATAAAAAAAGCATTTAAAATAATATCAAGAGTGTAAATTCTAAGATAAAGAATGGAATAATGTAATTTAAAGTAATGAATCCTAATTTCTTTTATTTAAAATAATGGATAACAATGGATTTGGAGAAAACCTTATGAAAAATATGATGTGAACAGCTTGGTTCCTATAGTAAAGTTAGGTAATAATGAAGTAATGATTTGGGGCTGTTTTGTTAAAAATATACTTGGTCTTTTAGTAGTATTAGATGGAAAAATTACAGGAAAAGTATATAAAAATTTATTAGAAACTCATTTATTACCTTTTATAAAAAGCTTAGATAAAGACATTTCCTTTACTTTTCAAGATGATAATGCTTTTGTATATAGAGCAAATTTAGTATTTGAATGGAAAGAGAAAAATTTAATATTTTCTATTCTATGATCTACTCAGAGCCTGAATCTTATCCAATTGAATATTTATAGGATCATCTTGAAAGAAAAATGCATAAGTATGAACTCTGATCAAAAAATAAAGGGAGTTTTGACAGAAGAGTGGTTGAAAATTGAAGAATATTATTTAGAAAAATTGGTAAATAGTATGTCAAGTAGAGTTGAAGATGTAATTAAGAGTAAAGGAAATCCTACAATGTATTAATACCAGATTCAGAAAGTTCATAACTTTAGGATTCTGGCAGTATAAATTTTTTTTAAAAATATAAATAAAGTTTTTGTGTAAATCCAGTTTAAAATTTATTAATTTTTTTTAAAAAAATGCTGATTTCACAATTGCCGGTGACTTTTGGTAGGTGAGTTTATGATATAATTTTACTGTTTTATTAAGTTTTATAGGTATTTTAATATAACTTTTTCAAGTTTTACTTAAATAATTTAATTAATTTTTAGGTTTATAAAAAAATTTTTAAATATAATATTAAATAAGTGTTAAATATTATAAAAAAAAAATTGTTATATAAACCAAAAATAATGATAATGAATTTGATTTAGATAAAAAAATTATTATTATAAATTGTATTTAACATATTAATGTTTAAAATTTTAATATCTTTAGAATTATAAATACATATAAATAAGATTATACTTTTATATAAAAAAAGAAGAAAAGTAGGATAATTATTAATAATTAAATTATTTTTTATTTTATTTTATTTCTTAAAAGTTTTAATATAATTCTCATATTGCGGAATTTTGTCATCTTTAGGTGTTACATAAAATTTAAGTTTACCATCGAACTTGATTAATCAAGACCAAAAGAGAAATTATTCACTCTGGATAATGAATTTTTTATAAAAATAAACCTTATGCCAAAAATAATACATACTTACAGGTGAATTTTTATATGGAATTTTTTGAAATTTTTACTAAAACGTAATGGCAAACAGGTTTACTTACAAAATCAAAGTTTGGCATTTCTCTTTACTTTTAGTCGGGAAATGTAACAATTTTGATTTCTTGTATCGGAAAAATTAACCATGATTACTGCACTAATAATATATACACATCCCTTTCGGGTGAATTTGACATTTATAATATTGTCTATTTTCTGTGCAATAATTTTCATATTATGATATGTCATCATTGAATGTATCATTAAAGATTGCTTGACTACCGCAATATTTCATTGGCAAATCTTTAAATTTAAGTTAGAACTTTAATTTCTTTGCTTCAGCTTCCAAAGCAGAGTGAATTTGTTCAGTTATCCAAGTAGCTTTGCTAGTGGCAATTCGGGAACAATCTATAATTGTTTCCATTTCTAATGGTATACCACCAGCTTTTGATAAAGTACAAAGTTCTTTATGAACATTTAATGTCATTGTCATATCACCTTGACGAATTTGTTCTTCTTGTAAAGTAGGATCTACGACAACATATTTTCTAAAGGAGAAAATAAGGAAACCTATTAAAAACTTGAAGGAAAGATAATCAACTCTTTTAAAAAAAAAACTTACCCATCCTCAAAGAAAGCAAATGTTATGCAAATGGGCATATGAAGTACGCTTAATGGAACAGGATTTCTTTGTTCAATTGGATGCTAAAATTTAAAATTTTGTCGATATTAGTTTAATTAAAGACGGAACGGTTACAAGAACTTTAAAAAATCAAGTGATAATACTATTGTGACTTCTTCCCCAATAACAGTAACATCAGGTCTTCTGAAATGGGCAAGAGCCGATATTGCAGCTATACAAGCTGCATCTATTATATTTCCATCATGATCAAGAAAATGTATATCAACGCGTATCGACCACACCTAAGTTAGAAATTAAATTTAACAATTTCTTTTGTTTATAAAAATTTCAATGGTAAAAATTTTCATCATACTTTTTCATTAGCAACAATACATAATCCTTCAGTATCAATAGCTCGACTTCTTTTAATAGCTTTTTCGAGTATACGACTCACAAGGACTTCTTCTTCAGAAGGTCTTGTTATAAATAAAATAAAAAAAGGTGAAATTATAAATAAATTTAGAGAATTGTTACAACAGCGGGCAATGAACAACCGATAAATCACCTTCCAGGTTCTATATTAGGAAAAGCCATTGGTGATAATTCCGTACTTAGTGTTATCATACCTTCATTAGGACGATCGGGATAAGGACGTATAACTTCACAAGAAACTTTAGCCAACACCCTATCGTATTGTAATATCTTGTAACCATGTGAAATAACCACAAATGTACTCGAACATTTAAATTTAAGCTTTACCTAGTATTTCCTAATATTACTTCAGAACGACCATATTCCGGACCAAATATAATACCTATTGCTCTAAATTCGTTTTTATCACGATTATCAAGACGCAAACCTTCTTTTATTCCCTTTAATATAAATTCTTTTTCATTATTCGAAAGTTCAAATTCTTTAACCATCATGAGCGAATTGTAAGTTCATTAAGAACATGGCACGAATTAATCTCTGATCGGACCATTTTGGGGTATGCTGAGAAAAGGGTTCAAAATTTTTTTATTTGAAAGTAGTCCCCTTTTCTGAGCTCAAGATCCTTTATTCTTCGTTTAGAATAATGGAACGTCTCGTTGTTTTTGACTTTGATTGGTATTAAGGATTTAATAAAAATAAAATTTATTTATTTTATAAAAACAGTACGTAAAATTAATTTGTTTAAAAGGTCAATGATAGATAATAATTCGGATCCATGGGTGTTTGAACAATTATCAAAAGAACTTGCGAAGAAAATTGATGATTTACAAAGAAAAGTGCAATGGACTGATTTAATGTGTGTTATTATTAGTAAATTCTCTGTAACTGTTTTAAACTTATTTGGTTCGTTTTTTTTAATAGGCACATGTTGTTGGAAGAATTACATAAGGAAGGTATATCAAGACAGCAAATAGAAGATGCATTGGCAAAGATTCCATTTGTAAGTATCTCGTAATCACAGTCTTTAAATGAACCTGTGATAACAATATAATCTGTTATTAGAGTCCCGCTATGATTGAATCGTTGAAAGCTATTAAACGCAGCAAAGGAGAAATCATAATCCTTTCAGATGCCAACACGGAATACATTGATATAATATTGAAAGTGGGTGTTTTAATGAATTCATTTTACAAACCTTCGAATTCTTCTGAATTTTAAATATTTATTTTAGGCATATGGTGTAAGAGATTTAATATCACTTATTATAAGTAATCCTGCAAGTTGGGATGAAAATGGTAGATTACATGTAAAAAGGTTAATCCCCCTTGAAGATCCTCATGGATGTGAGAATGAATGTGCAGTGAATCTTTGCAAAGGTCGTGAATTGGTTAATTATCTTTCCTTACATCCTAAAAAATTTGATCAAATTTTTTATGTTGGTGATTCGTATAATGATTTTTGTCCCGCTACTAAGATGTCTAAGTATGTTCTTTTTTTCATTTATTTATTTTATTTGAAAATTCTCTTATTTATTATTGTTTATTTAAATTTTAAAATTTTAAAGAAATGATGTGCTTTTGATAAGAAAAGGATTTTATTTGGAAAAGTTTTTAACTTCTTCAACATTTAAAAGAGAATTAAATCCAAAAATTGTATATTGGCAAGATGGCAATGATTTTTTAAAAAATATACAATTAGAATTTAAATTAGAATTTAAATTCGAATAATAAATTAAATTGAATTTACTTTATACTATTAACTTCTTATAAATATAAATATACCAATTGAATTACAATTATTTTCTTATTTAATAACAAAATTGTTTATTATATTTATTTATAAATAAATAAAATAATCAGATTTACTGAATTTTAAACTTCAATAACTTAATTAAAAAAATATTATATTAATATTTTATCTATTTTATTTAAATTCTTTATATCACATTTAGATTAAAGTTAAATTAATTTAAAATGTTAATAAAAAGAAAAAATATTAAACTTTCAATATTAATTCTTAAATTAATTAATTAAAATAAATTTATTAAACTTATTATATATATAGTTTAAAAATATATTACTTTTTGAATAGTATATTATTTTTAAAATTATATTATATAACAATTAATCAATTATGTAATAAAATATAATATAAAATATATAAAATACTTACTACATAACTATAATAATAGAATAATAATAATAAAATATATATAATATAAATTAGAATTTTAGTATTTATTAACTATTTAAATAATTTAGATTATTTATTATTTAAGTAATAAATAATATTTATTTATCATTTATTATTTAAATTATATATTATTTTTCATTATTTAATAAATATTATATTAAATATGATATTTTTTCAATTAAAATATATATTTTATTATTATTTTCAAAATAATAAAATTTTCTTATAAATTTTAATATAATAATATCTTGAATATACTATAACGCTAACTAATTTTAGTTTGGTAATAATGATTACTCAGTAAATCTTTGTGATTAGAATTATATAGAATAATTAATTAATCTAATAGAAATTAGTTTCACTAATAATAAATTTTAAGTAGCAGTTTTTTATTTTTCTATATTTGTACCTATTTTAAGATATTTATGTATTTATTTTTTTATAATAAAATATTATATTAACGCACAACTATTAAACAGTTTAAAAGCAATAATAATATATCACTGATTAATCAAAAAGATACGTTATCAATGCTGGCTTCCTTTCATCAAACTCTTACTCTTTTACAGTTTCACATTATTTTATTTCCTTTTATAGGTATAGTACAAACTAATCAAAATTTTGAATCTGTAGTAATTAAACCCTTTGTATTGAATGGTTGAACTTATTATAAATTAATTTAGATAGATTAGTTTAGAACAGTGTAAGGTTAATTTGATTTAGTTTAATTAACTAGATAGAAATTTTTGTACTCTCTTTTTTGTAATTTGTAATTTTGTAAAATTTTACTTTATTTCTAATAAAGATTATGCAAAACTTCTGCACATAAAAATAAATAAAATAAAATATTGCATCACTACATCTTAAAAAAAATAACGCTAATTAATTTTGATGATGTTAAAATTAATTATACCAATTTGATATTTATTATAAATTATTAATAAAATAATTACATCTATCAAAATATAATTTAATTAGTAATTTATCAATTTACACTGAAGTATAATATTAAAAACTAATAAATAAATTTACATTATTTAATAAATAAAAGTAGATAAAAAATTTCAAAAAATTTAAAAAATATAAAAATATATTACTAGTTAATAATATTTATAACAATTATTTTTATTATTTTAAATTAGTTAAATCAATTTTATTTTTTAAATTTAATTAAGTGTTACTAGTAAAATCTAAAGGTTTAATAAATTATTTAAATAATAAAAGGTAAATTTAATAAAATTATATTAAAATCCTATTAAAAATTTGCGAAATTTAATAAATAATAAATATCAAAACTTATAAAAATAATGAAATCAGTAAAATTACTAAAATTAAAAATTAAACATTTTGTCAAATTTGAATAAATTTAATTAAGCAACTTTTTAAGTTTTACTAATTTATTACATATAACTTAACTTTTTTAAAATTTAATTTATTAGATTTTAATATTTTAAATTTTTTTTAAATTTAATCAAATTTTTTACTAATTTTTATTATTTTTTATAAATTTTTCATTATTTTAATTAAGTATTATTTAATATTATATCATATTTTTTTATATAATAATAAATCAAGATTTTAATTTATAACAATTATATTTATAATTTAAATTAATAATTTATGATATTTATATTATAAATATTTTTTAATTATTAAACTTTCTATTTTTATGAAACTTGAAATTATATATATATATATTAAATTTTAATTTTACATTATCTTTTTAAAAAAAAAAAAAAATTTATCAAAAAAAAAAAGGATAAAAATTTATTTAACATTACCTTTATTTTAAATAATAAAAATTAATTTTTTATAAAATATCGATATGGTTTCTATATCTATATCATCATATGGGCTCTTTGCAATAGAAAGGAAGGAAACTACCAAAAAAATTTTTTTTTGCTTTATAAGCTAAATATTATTTTTTTTAATAAAATAAGTCCAGATTTAACATTAATTCAAAAAAAATTTTTTTGGTAGTTTCCTCCCTTTCTATTACAAAGAGCCCATATGTCATATTCGATAGGTCTGTTAGTTTCTACCGATTTTAGCCGGCTAGCTATTATAAAACTGATACTGGATTCCGATTTTTCTTTGCATAACGATTCAAATAAGCTAAATTTCATCAAAAGATATTGCGCAGCAAAGATCAGCATTTTATTATAAAAAAATAAGTCTAACCAATTTTATATAGTAAAATGTTAATCTTTGCTGCGCGATATCTCCTGATCAGATAATTCGATTTAGACAAAATTTAGCTTATTTGAATCTTCACGCAGAGGAGAATCAGAATCCAATATCAGCTTTATGATAGCTAGCCTGCTTAAAAAAGTTTTCTAAACTCAAAAGTCATTAAGTACTATTTTTAATGTAGATCTTTACATTATACAAAATTGATATTATTAATTGGCTAATAAATTTTTATAAGATATTTTCCAAAATATAAGAATTAAATTGAATTAAAAATTATGTTTTTAGCATTTGTAGTTAATAAGTTATAAGCATTTAAAGCTAAAAATAAGTTGTTACATTTCTTTTATTAGCCACTGTATATCAATCTATCAGGACAAGCTATAAGAGATACATTTCATATATTCTTAATTATCATATTTAGACGTATTCTTAAGTATACCTATCTCACTTTAAGAAACTTTTTTGCTAAATATTTTTTTTGATAAGTTAAAGCTCTATGATAAGTAAAAAAAGACTTTTTCTTATTTGATTTAACTATGATAAAAGTTGAAAAAGTTCTAAAAAGTTTAAAAATTGGCAATAATTTTAGTTATAAAGTAAAAATTTGTGAAAAATAAAAGAAATTTTGGACAAAATATTTATAATAAAATAAAGTAGCTATGAAAAATTCTCAAAATTGTGAGAATTATTTTTTGTAGAAAAATAAACAAAAATTTATTGGATTATATTGGATGATGATCATTGCATAGAAATCTATAAAACAAAAACTTGTTTAAAATTAGCGCAATAAATCAATATTATTAAATTTAGATGAATATATAATATTTGCATAATATATTTTTAATCAATATTTCTTTATTTAATACAAATTTAGGAAATTTTTATAAGTCACATAATTTTAAAAGTTTAGCAAAATACATGCATAAGAATTAAGAAATATGAATATTAGTTTTTATAAAAAAGAAATTACTTGCAATATTTATGTAGTTTATTTATTAAGAAAAATTAAATAACATAATCAGTTGATTAAAAGTTAATTTTAAATTTATTTTCAATAATTTTCTCATAAAAGATTTCTCAAAAATTAGATTTCAATAAACTTTCCTGATACGTTTATGTAAATGATAAATGGTCTATTAAAATCGGGGTAACTTAAAATCAGAGCTTTGATTAACATCTCTTTTAGTCTATCGAATGCTATTTGTTGTTTATCTCCCTAAAGAAAAGGTTCATCTTTCTTTAATAAAGTAAGCATAGGTCGAGCAATCCTTGAAAAGTCCTTAATAAACTTCCGATAATATGAAAATAATCCTAAAGCAGCACAGAGTTGTGTAAGATTCGTTGGTCTTGGAAAATTCTTGACTTTAACTATTTTTTCAGGATCTGGGCAAATTCCGTTTTGTCCTACTACATGTCCTAAAAAATGGATATTAGGTAAACAAAAATAGCACTTCTTTAACTTAATTTTTAAGTTTGCACGTTGAATAGCTTGGAATACTTAGCATATATGGTCCATATGCATTTTAAAAGTTTCTTTTGAATAGATTATGACATTGTCTAAATATACAGCAACGAAATCTCTGAGAAAGTCTTGTAAGACTTTATTCATTAATCTTTGGAAGGTTCCAGACGCATAGCTTAGTTTGAAAGGCATTACTAAGAATTTGTATAACCTGAAAGGTGTTATAAATGCTATTTTCTCTATATCCGCTTCATCCATAGCTACTTGCCAGTACTCACTTGCTAAATCCAATATAGTAAACTATTGGGCAGCTTTAAAACTTTCTAATAAGTCATCGATTCAGGATAAAGGATAAGCATCGGCTTTTGTAATCGCGTTTAATTTACGATAGTCTATGCAAATTCTTTTGTCGTCACTTTTCTTATCTACAATTACTACAGGCAAAACCTAAGGGCTTGAAGATTTTGGACTATCTCTGTTCTTCCATTTTTATTATTTCGTTCTTAAGGAATTCCCAGTTCTTTGAATTAGTTCGATATGGAGTTTGTGCGATAGGCACAGCATCACCAGTTAAAATCTGATGTCTAATTAAATTCGTTCTTCCGATCCTAATCTGGCTTTTAGCACAAATATCAGGATAGTCATTTAGAAGGGCTTGAAAGAGTTCTTGTTGATGATGATCCAGAGGTCCAGTTTAATTTATAGGTACAGGTTCGTCTTGGACGGTTTCAGCTAAAAATACAGCTAGATTTTTGTTGGCATCTATCGAGTCGATATCGTCATCATCCTCTGTTTCAGCTTCGAAACTTTCTGAAAAGTAGAAGTTTATCTATGGGTTAAATTCTAGCTCACCTTGATCGGCCGAATCTTCTTCAGAGG